ATCTTTAAGTCTGATCATGCCTGTAAAAAACATACTGACATTCACAAGATGACATTTATCTCATTACATTCATCATAAATATATTTCACTATATGAGGTTGAACCTATAGATGCCGCTATATTGTTTATAGACTTAGCAAAACTTAAAGATATTTTACTTGGGATAAATTGAGAACTTCAACTGTTTAAGAAAGAATGGGTAATTGATTATGATTGGGAAAAAATAGCTGCCTCAGAATTAGCAAATTCCAGAAGAAGAAATTTAAATGTTCCCTGTGAATTAGCGTATATCTGAAAAGACAAGTGATTGCTATGCATGATGTGTTTATATATTGCATGCTGCTACATAAAAAGCTTTCTCAGTGCATTAAGGAAGACATGCATGCAGTGAGAAATAGGAGTATTTTGCAGGGAATCTCAGAAAAGTTCTTCTAAATATATGTTCAAAATTATATTTGATCATGCAGGTGTGGTCCCATGTATACAATCTATATAGCAGGAAAACTTACCGGTACAGCCACGCTCATTATAGGGGTTGCCTTCGTAGCCCCGGCGGCAGTTGCAGATGTACCCAGGTCCGTTGGTAGAATCGAGGCAGCGGCTGTTGGAGCTTTTGCAGGCGTACCCTTCCTTCTTCTTCCTGGCCTCCTTGCAGGTGGGGCTGTCGCGGATGGCCCAGTCGAGGACCACCGGCATCTCCCAGGTGGTCCCGCGCAGTGCCCTCTTGAGGTCGGTGGTGTTGAAGCTGTAATGCTTCTCCGCCGCAAACGCATCGCAGGGGCTGAAGTTGAACTTACTGGGTGAGACCCATCCTGATGAATGACACGTGACATTTATAAATCACAAAGCATCTACCCTATTCCTCATCTGAAATCAAGGAGGAGAGATTATATGTTTTGTGATTTGTAAATGTCACGTGTCATCCATCAGGGCGGGTCTCACCTGCTAACCGTGAGACCTGGTCTCATATAATTTTTTTCCAACTTACTGGTGTGGTCGTAGCTAACGAAGGCCACCCAGTTGCCATGGAGGTCCGGCGGAATTTCTACGTGGCAGCAGCCTACCCCGGAGCAGGCACCGCTCGCCGCGCTCTCGGAGTTGTTGCAGTAGGAGAGGCAGACGGTGAACTGGGCGTATGACCTGCTTTCGCCGGAGCCCTGGTCCGGCTGGCTCCCGAGGTAGCCCGTGGTTTCGCAGCCCAGGACAAAGAGGGTTGTTCCTGGCGTGGGAGATGCGGTACACGCCCTCCTCGTTGAACTCTAGGTTCCTGTAGTCTGACCCATTCGCTTTGCCGGAGGAGTCGTAGCACTGCCACGCTACAGGCAGCCACACGCGGGCCTCAGCCGCCTTCGTGGAGAAGTTGCCGATCTTAACGGGCTTTCCGTCACCGCCGGTGGTGTGCAGTACCGGCTCACCGGCGTCACACATGACATGGAACCCAGCGCGGTAGTCGCCACCGCCGCCATCCTCCACGATGGCGAACGGGTAGGGGACATCCACGCCGCCGCAGCTGTGCGGGCCGTGGGTGACGTTCTTATGAGCGCGGGAACCACTCACTCTAACTATTCCTACTAGTGCAAGAACTAGCAGCAACTGAAATGTCCTCGACATCACTACTCTCGGTCGATCGTGGCGCTCTCACTTTTCGATATGCAGTGATCTCACAACGACCCTCCAAGTGTTTAAATAGCTAAGGCGTTGCCCTGAACATCCATTCTCATCAACGTGTTGTGTCCATGAGGCATTGGCCCCATGGCTCCTTGTCTCGTGTAAACAAGTGAACTAACGAAAATGATGTTTTGAATAGTAAAGGTCTTCTTGACTTGGCTAAACATCATTTTGTTCTACTCCCTCCATCCGGCATTACTTATCTTAGACACGTTTTAGTGTTCGATGCATTCGTATATAGACAAATTTAGGACAAGTAATTTGGGACGATGGTAATAATAAGTAGTGCCATGACGGCCCTGCCCGGTTTCCCGTCGAGGTTCCTTGACGGTGGATCGGGATCGGGGGTTTTTGAATCCTTCAAAATGGCGCGTGCGTTTCGAAGATGCAAGGGAGGCTGGGCGATGGATCACTGGTTTGATCTACTCGCATCTGTCTCGATGGATGACGATTAGAGATGAAGAAGGAGAAATTTTGGCCGGACGGCATCTGAGAACCGACGAGGAACTTGCTAGTGGTAAGCGTTTATTGATTGATATTTACCAAATCGAGGTTCTTGAGTGTGTGCATGTGCCTGCGGAATGCGGAGATCAACCTCTCGTTGTGGATCTTACGACGGAGGTGGACGGACCGAAGCCTACGCAGCGGTTTGGGGGTCGCTTCTGGATTCTTGCCAACGAGGAGGAAGACGGTGATTATCGACAGGCCACGTCTGATCGGCCGCCACCTAAGCTTGACTTGGTAATGTCCATCTCGCTGCCTAACCCTAATGAGGGCTGCAAATATTCTATTCCGCTCGGTCCTATGGTTCCTTCGCAGAAGCCGAAAGTGAACCATGGATTGGACCGTTGCCAAAAGTGGCTCCATCTGTTGTTACGCTGTCCGACTTTTTTCGTCCCGCGTGCTGGACGAGAGTAACTAGGCGAAAGAAGAAGGGAGGCCGAGTTGTGCCTCAGCGATCGCCGGCGGCGGCCGTTGTGCGTGATGTTCGGGCGGCAAGGATTGAATGTTTGAATTCGCTTTTAGGCCGAGACGGGCCAAGTGAACGATGGCGTTGTGGGCTTGGTTAGTACTGGGCTTGAGGCCCAGGGGGCTGGCCAAGCCTGCGATCCATCTGGGAGGGGCGACGTGCATGAGGAGGCCTCGGATCGGGAGCCGCTGCATGCACGTTCGTTCTCTCCCTGCTGCCGCATCGCTGGTTCTAGGGTTCATCGTCGCGGGAGTCGGGGGTTCCCTACTACCTCCTCGCGCCGTGTCAACCTTGGAATCGTCCGGTTTGGAGACTGCCCGCCATCCGCGGTTCGTGCGGCTGCGATGCTGCCCAAGCCTCCTCGATCGAGGGCCGCGCCGTCGTCGAGGAATGCGTCGGGGGCTGCGGGCGTGGCTTTGGCGCAGGCTGCGGGCGCTGCCGATCCGGTGCCCGTGTGGGCTGCGCCTCCGCCCAGGGTGGCTCCGCCGCCGCCTAGGGCGGCGCCTCCTCCGCCCCCTGCGAGGGCCCCTCCACCGCCACCGAGGGCTGCCCCACCTCCGCCGCCCCCACCAAGGGTTGCACCTCCGCCGCCGCCTAGGGCTGAGCCACCGCCGCCGCAACGACCGTGGCCGGGGCAGAGGGCGGGCGGCCGTGGTGGGACATGCCAAGCCATGAATGGTCGTGGTGCGGGTGCTTTCACGGGTGACAATCGCAACCCTCCGCGCGGTCAGTGGGGCAATGATGGATATAATGCATATGGTGATGGTCTGCATCAAGGTTCTTCGTCTACCGGAGGCGGCCGTGGCTATGCTTGGGTGGATCAAGGCAATGCCGGTAGGGGTTTCCAATGACCGCCTGGCAACTTTGTGGAGGGCGCGGTTGGCCAGAATAACCATCCTTTTCGGGGTCGTTTCCGCGGAGGCCGTGGCGGTGCCCTCCTCTGCCGAGGCAGCCGACCACTGTTTCTGAGCAGTAGACGACCTCGCCGGAGGTGGCTGCCATTGGATCGGCTCTACCGCAGGTGGCGGTGGAGACAGTTCAGGCCTTGGCCGCAGTTACGTTGTCGGAGCCCATGCATACTGGAGATACTGCTTCTGAACAAGGTACGGAGAAGTCCGAGGTTGAAAAGGTGTCCAAGTGGGCGGCTAAAAAGAAGAAGTTGACCTATTTCCGTTGCGGTGAACCGGGTCACTTTCTGGTTGAATGCACTGCAGAGTTATGCGACTTGTGCCGGAAACCTAAGCATACAACTTCAGAGTGTCCTCTTTTGTTGGGTCCTAAACCTTCTGTTAACATCTATGGGGTCTTCTGCTCGGAGTTGATGTTCTTCGAGTCTCCTAGTGTGGAACCTTTGACACCCGTGGTTGAAACCTCCTTCCCTGGTGTGGTGAAGGTGGTTCATGGACCTTTGACTGAGGCACAAATCATTCAGTAGTTGCAGGAGTTGGCACCAGGTAATTTTCAGTGGTCTTTGCTCAAGCTGACAGATCAGACTTACAAAGTGGATTTCCCGTCTAAGGAGGATCAGCTGAGAATCCTCAAATTTGGTATGAGCAGGGTCACTGGTACTAGTTTTCTGCTGCAGTTTGATGAGTGGAAAAAGAAGGAGAAAGAAGGAGCCGCAGGGCACGCCGTTAACTCAGATTTGGGTTCGTTTCTCCGAGGCGCCATCTGCTCCCCTGGATAGTTTTTTGGTCACCTGGAGCCTGGGTTCTCTGATTGGTAAGACTGAACAGGTGGATATGCAGTTCACACGTGCTCATGGGGTGGTGTGTTTGCTTGTCAGTGTTGCTAACATTGAGTTCTTGCCGGATGTGGTGCCTTGGACGCATGAAGGCGTTCTGTACAGCTGGATGTCGAGTATGAGGATCCCAATCTTTTCCGGGAATTTGAGGACGATAATCCTATGGACACTTCGTAGGGAGGAGGTGCTTTGGGGAACCAGGATGATAGTGCTAAGAGTAATGATGATAAGGCCAAGGGGCCTTCGGGTCCGTCTAACTCTGGTGAGACTACTACTGAAAGGTCAACAGGTACTGTTCCGACGAGTACGTTGCAGCTTGGATCCTTGGGAGCTTTCTCGGCGCCTCCTAGGCTTTGGAGTGATCGAGTTGATCTGATGGACCCGGTGGTTGATACTTCTCCAACGTATCTACTTTTCCAAACACTTTTGCCCTTGTTTTGAACTCTAACTTGCATGATTTGAATGAAACTAACCCGGACTGACGCTGTTTTCAGCAGAACTGCCATGATGTTGTTTTATGTGTAAAAGAAAAGTTCTCGGAATGTCCTAAAAATCCACGGAGGCACTTTTTGGAAAATATAAAAAATACTGGCGAAAGAATCAAGATCAGGGGGCCCACACCCTGTCCACAAGGGTGGGGGGCGCGCCCCCTCCCCCTGGGCGCGCCCCCCTGTCTCGTGGGCCCCATGGACCTCCACCGACCTCAACTCCAACTCCATATATTCACGTTCGGGGAGAAAAAAATCAGAGAGAAAGTTTCATCGCGTTTTATGATACGGAGCCGCCGCCAAACCCTAATCTCTCTCGGGAGGGTTGATGAGGAGTCTGTTCGGGGCTCTGGAGAGGGGGGATTCGTCGCCGTTGTCATCATCAACCATCCTCCATCACCAATTTCATGATGCTCACCGCCGTGCGTGAGTAATTCCATCGTAGGCTTGCTGGACGGTGATGGGTTGGATGAGATTTACCATGTAATCAATTTAGTTTTGTTAGGGTTTGATCCCTAGTATCCACTATGTTCTGAGATTGATGTTGCTATGACTTTGCTATGCTTAATGCTTGTCACTAGAGCCAAAGTGCCATGATTTCAGATCTGGACCTATTATGTTTTCATGAATATATGTGTGTTCTTGATCCTATCTTGCAAGTCTATAGTCACCTATTGTGTGTTATGATCCGATAACCCCGAAGTGACAATAATCGGGATACTTCTCGGTGATGACCGTAGTTTGAGGAGTTCATGTATTCACTATGTGCTAATGCTTTGTTCCGATTCTCTATTAAAAGGAGGCCTTAATATCCCTTAGTTTCCAC